TAGAAACCAAAGAATATTAATGGAAGCTAGAAGGAAACCATTAATGTCATAAGAAGTAGACTTGAAGAAGCCATTGCGGTCATCACAACTGGCAACGTCTCGTGGTTTTCCACTTTGGGCATAGGAAGAAAAATGGTTTTCGTGTTGCTAAGACACTCGCCACTCGTCAATCAATAAGGTATTTATAATTGTCAAAACAACACATATATGATTATCATGTTGTTATAAAAAAAAAAATTTGTCATCCACCCTCTTCTTGTTATAAAACGGGCTCCTCTCACATTTTCAAGATTTTTCATCACAAAATGCGTTCTTCTCATAATTTTTTATATGTGAATAGATTCGTTTAATTATCATTACTTTGTCTCTTTAAATTATCATCTCATAATAAATTAATTAATTTTTAATTTATTTAAAATTATTAAATATGATTCACAGTATTTTAAAGTTATTAAATATAACTCACATTCATTCATATAATTTTTTTTAAGCTTCATATAAATCTATTATTAATTATCAATAATCATGATCATATCATTATCCCTTATTTCATATAGAAAATAAAAAAAATCCAAACACGATAATTAAAACCATCATTCTCTAAGCTTCTTGAACGTTCTCACAGCAATTCACCTTCTAAGACAAATTATAAACATTTGGCTGACTTAAATATTAAAAGCCGTTTCAAAATATTAAATTAGATACTCCGTAATTGTAATTGCTTACTGTAAGTATAAATCATCCCAAACACAATTTCCAGATCCTTACCTAACGAGCTCGTACCAAAGAAAACCATCAACAATTCACAAAACCCAAAAGAAAAGAAGAAAAGAAATTCGCAAGTTTTAGTAATGGATTGCGTGCGAAAAAAATTGCTAAAAGGCTATGGCTTCCATTTTGATTGGGTAACCAAGAACCTGAGTTCTGTATGGCCGCTATTTGTTTTGTTTTTTTTTTTTTATTAATGTCGTTATCTATTGAGTAGGCAATCTACTATTTGCTTCATCCCCTAACTTGACTTTGTTTTGTCTCTATTCTGATTGATCAAAGGTCAATTAACGAAACCGGTCTTGCAACTAAGGCTACTTTTAGGAGCGTGGTTCCCCGCTTTTTATGATTGGACCCTCCTTAGAAAATTTAATAAAACAGAAATAATAAAAAAATAACTTTGAGGTCTGAAAATATTATTTTAAAAATAATTATATTTATAAGACATAATAAATTTTTAAAAAAATTTAAATAAAAAATACTAAAATTAATCAAGTAAAAAAATTTATTTGTAATAAATGAATAATCACAAAACAAGTTAATTCAAAAAATTATGATATTTTGTATAATAATTTTTTTGTATTTAAATAATCATATTTTTTCTATTCAAATATGTTTATTCATATTATCATATTTTTCTCTTTCAAACATATTTATTCAAAATAAAAATAATATATTAGTAATATTTCGAAATAAAAAATAAAAATTAAAAAATTAAATCTATTTACTAAACTTCTAACTAATCTAAATGATTTAGTGCATTTCAACACTTAATTATTTAAATAATACAAGTAATCTTTTAAACTGTATATTAATTATTTTTTTACTCAATATAAAATATAACACATTCTAATTACTAACACAAATTCACCAAAACAAGGCTTGAGATCCAAAATCTAATCTATTTTTGTTCAAATTATCATAAAAGAAAACTTAAGAGCCAATTAAATTTAACTCAAATGGCATGAGATTGCAGAAGTTATTAAGGTTCGAGGCGTAATCTCCTTTTCATAGATGAGTAAAATAAGTGAACTGTAATTAGTAAAATCGTATGAAGTCAAAAAATAGATTAAAAGTTAAAAAAAATATTTTTTTGAGAGAATTCTTTTAACCAACTGCTTAAGGGACCGACGCAGGGTTTATAGTAAGTGGGGCAAGTATTTTAATTCAATTTATTAAATTTTTCATTGAAAAGTAAATTAATATAAAAAAAAATTAAACAAATTAATATGTATAACAATTTTTTAAGCCACAAATACAATATTTGCATAACTCAAATTAATTACATGATTGTTGTCGAATATAACCTAAATATTATTATAATATAAATAAATTATCTTTCGACATACATATTTGTAAATACAAACACATATAAATATATATTTATTTAATAAAATTTTACTTCACGCATACACATATAAATATGTATATATATTTATTTAATAAAATTTTATTTATAAAATTTTAAATATAGATATAATATGTGAAATATTTACTTTAATTTATTATTTATTATAATGTGAAGAATAATAAATGCTTATTTTCTCATATTTGATGAAAATAATATTTTTTTTATATACAATAAAAACAAAAATAAAGACATAAATCTATATTAGTTAAAGATCATTTTTATTTTTTTTTTTATTAATTCACACTTTATATGTTATTTATATGAACATAAAAATTCTTTATTTATTTTTCTTCAAAATTAATATATATATTATAATAAAATTGTTTATCACCCAAAATATAAATGTTCAACTACCAGATAAACAATAAAAATTCTTAATGAGAGCAAATATGATAAAAAAAAAATTAATAGGAGCGAAGCTTAAATTTCTAAAATTTATGAGATTTGTTTATAATAAATCTAAAAAGTTTTGGTATCTCAATGGGGCGGCTGCCCCACGATCCTATACGTCAATCCGTCCAGCTTATATTTAGTCTATTGATTACTATCTCCTACGTTACTCTGACTCTTCATATTTCTTGAGGAATTCATGTCTGGTATAGATACGCACGTGAATATAAAAATCCGAATTTCCAAATGTAAAATGAAAAAATTTGCACCAGACACATACTCAAATCCAACATTTACCTCCAAATCAAAGTAACACAGGCTATGCCTATTTATTTATATAATTTCAATCCTTGATTTTAATCTTGCCTTCCCCTCTAGAACTTTCTCAAATCATGAGTCATCAAATGGCGGTTTTTCATTAGAGCCGAGGGAGCTTTGGCCCCACGCAAAGTGTTTAAAATTTTTTAAATATATATATTAAACAAATTTAAGTTGATTCCTTCAAATTAAAATTAATTTATTTTTTATTCTAAAATTTAATTTTATGTATTATTGTGATTTTAAAAAGTTAAAATTACATTATTACATATCTATTTATTGTACCCACAAGAAATTCTTAAAATCAAGTTAAAAATTTGTAGCAAGCTTTAAATCACATGTAAAGTTAACAAAAATCAAATTAATTTTCTAATTTTCTCAACAAAATTTCAAATTTTCAACTAGGTATTAAATATGTGTTTTTCTTTTCTTTTTAGCTTACTACAATTTCCTTTTACATATAATTTTTATTTTTAATTTTACTCTAAATTTTGTCTCATATTATCTTAAAATCTTTTTTTTAAAAAAATTGGAACCCCTTCGTGGAAGGTAAAGAAAAAAATCATAACTTTAAATTTCAAAGTTTGAACTTCATTCCTTTAAAATTATATTTATTTTTTTTTGTTTTAATAAAAATATATTATTTAATGATTGATTTATTTATATTTGTTTTTTCAATTTTAAATTTCTTAAAAAAATTAAAGAAATTCTAATAATTAATTGAAAGATAGTGTAATTAGTAATTTTATCATTAATTTAAAAATTTTTTTATTCTTAAAAGTTTAATGCTATCATACTAATAAAATTATGTTATAATTTTATAAATTAATTACTTTTTTTTAATATATTATTTGTATATTAAGTGTGTCCGCATCTTTATAAGTCTAATAAAAAACATAATATACAATTAACTAATTCCCTCAAATTTAAATGTCAAGATTTGTCATAATTTTTAACTTGTCCCTGAAAAAAAGACCTTTAAAAAAAAAGTCTGACATGATGGATAAATATGTTTTTTGGCCAAAAATAATAATAATAAAAAAGACACCGAATTCCTCTGCCACCATTTATCCGGAAAAACATTTCCTCTCCCATCTTGGGCCAAGAGGTTAGCTCTTGAGCCGAGTGGGCTGTCAGACCATGCTTAGTGCATTCGAAGCTTGAAAACTAGAAAGGACAGAAGAAAAATAACAAGAAAAAACTAGTTTATAAATAAACACCAGAATGCCAGGTACCCTCGCACAAAATCAAAGCAGCCTAGCACCAACGTCACTTTGATTTGTCAAAAATCACCCACCACCCTCCCCTCTCTCCACATGTACCTCGAGAATCTAAAGATGCCTTGCCCTCAGCATTACATATTTGTTCGATCCAGTATTTTTCAATATAGTTTTAATCACCGTTCATGCGTTTTTTAATCTAATTATTAATCGTAAACTCCTTACAGAGTTAATTGACAGTAATGAACCAAGAATCAATCTCCGACAATCTCTAGTACCAAAAAACAAATATTTCGGTTGGAGCAGTTCGGAGAAGCAAAAGAAAGGAAACCAAGTCAGTGAGAGGTACAAGAATAAATGGCTAAGGGAATTGGGATGATGAGAGACAAAGGAAAAGAGGCCAAAAAAAAGGAAGAGCTGAATGAAGAAGAGAAAACGATAAAAGAAGGGGAACAACTAGGATAAAAAAAAAAAAAAAAAAAAAACAGGTCTCAAGCTAATTATTACATTAAAAATGACAAAGGAAAACTGAATTTTATACGGGAAAGGAAGAAAAAATCAATTTTTAAATGCACAATTCAGCCGACAATTTCAAATTAAATTTGCAATAAAATACTCTTCTTTTATGTTTTGCACAACCTAAAAAGCAGACAAGATAAACCTAGCTGGATCAGTTTGAAAGAATTAGGGTAGGCTTAACAATCATCTTACAAGAGACTGAATTCAATGCCCAGCTACAGCGCTCATGTTGCTAATGAAAACTTCAAATATAACAATTTGGTAAAGGTAACTCAACAACTCACTAGGGAACGGAACCAATGGTGAATCCAATGGCAGTTCATTGCAAATTAGTCAATAACTGCTCGTCTACTCCTAAGAAACTGTTCAAAAATCCACAAATTTTGGATCAGAGATAACAGATAGTTCATTTCTCAGTGCAAAAACTGCAAAAAGTTAACAATTTTTTAAAATAAGGGAATCACATACCCCATGCTATACTATGGATCATATTTTTCCATGCATTTAATCTAAAGACCAAATTAAACGGCCTTAATTCTATTTTATTTTGTTGATAAAAAAAATGATAACATTCTGAGGATTTAATTAAATGAAAGAATTTCTCGGCCGAAACAAAAATAAATGAAAGAATGGAAGATGATGCATGTTGATTATGATCACTTGTGAAGGGATATGTGAATCATGGAATATAAGCATAATACCAGAGTCACCCTAATCATCCTTACCATCCTTTGGATATGAATAAAATGAGGAAACTTTGGGACACCTCCCCTCCTTTATGGCATTGAGGAATAACATCTACTGATTTTTAAACAAACTCGACGGAACCTGAAAGAAAGGAGAGGAAATGAAGATAACAATTCACCATTAGAGATCAAACAACAATAGGTTGACTATATTAACATTTCAAAAGACACATAAAATGTTGGTATGAACAACTTTACTGATATTCTTTAGTTCAAATCATTTCACAAGTAGCAAACAGAAGACACAATATGTATTTGACATGCCCACCTGTGCATCTCCAGAAAGTAATGCATCCATGTGACATCAGGAAGAGAGATTACACTGACCATATAATGCAGTGTTGATGGTTATTAGGCACTTAAATAAATGCAGATACTTTTCAAGAACATAAAAAGTTGAAATAAAGACGGGGGATCTGTAAAACAAACTGTTTAACCAACATTTTCTCTACCATAAGAATGTTATTAAATGAATCCTCACAATCCAATTATTTGGATAAGATGGTGACTTTTATATTTTATTGGGATAAGGTGTTTAGAAATTTTCATAAATATTTGAAACGAAGGAAATTAGTATTTAGCTATTCAAATCCCAAATTCTTGCAAATTTTGCAGCTAGAATAATACTTTTTTTTTCAATTTGAAATATCCACGGAATTGACATCAATGGTTTCTTCATTTTCCACCATATAGCATTCCCAAACCACTTACCATTCCAAAAGCTAGCTAATTTCATAAATAAGACTAATGTTCTGGAAGCAACAAAAGGCAGCCTTCAAAGCTGCTGTGCCCATACTTCACATAGTCAATAACAAGCAAACCCCAACTCTTTGTCCTTCACATACTTGCCACCATATTCCCACCACATACCTTGATTGAGAATGCTGGCAGCAGCCTCCAAAAGTGTCTGAAAGGTGTGCTTAAGGTTGGTTCTAACCAAACTTAATTCGGGACAAGTGCTAAGTGCAGTGATGAGAACATTAGTCAGGAGCATGTGAAGGCCTTATTGGTTATTTGAGTCTTAAACTTATGTTTTTTAAGCAAAAAGTTACAGATTTTCATTTCAATTATGTTTGTTTTACAACAGTATCATTTTCTAGTTTTCTAATTAACTGCCAGGGGTGCTTCAGTATTTTCCTGGTTTGCTACATATAGCCGATTCTGAGTCCCCTGTGAGTTTTGTATAAGTATTATTTTAAGTCAAGTTTGTTTGTTTTATTGGAGAAGGAATTGCTAGGAGTCTGAGGCATTGTAATCTTTCTTTATTTCTTTTTTTAATTAAAGAATGCAATCTTTCTATCGATAGAGAATGTTACTTGAGAATTTCCAGCATTATTTTTTATAATCAGTGACAGAATCAACTTTAGCTGTGATTTCAATCTTAGGGATCTCTTTTAGATTTTAATTCTTTAAAAAACAGGAAAAAAAAAAGAATTATTAACTTTTTCTCTGTTTGCTTAACAAAATTATCATCACTTAGCTGTCCTACCTCACCCCTTCCAAGCAAAAACATCCCAAGTAGCCCCATAAGAACAAAGACCATTAACTTTCCATTCACCACGACACTGCCACTAGTAACTCTCTCATTATCACTGCATTACCACCACAAGAATATTTGGAATCCTCTAAAAATCAGACCCATTTGTAGTTACATGGGCAGGCAGAAAGAAAGTGCAAAAAACAAGAACATATACCATATTTCATTTACTGAAAGTAAATGAAAGTATAAAATGAAAAAATCTTTGGTTCATTTTTAATAGATAGTTAGAGAAGGTTACTACATACCTTCACATGATGAGGCATGATCTTGATATCAAAGGGTGCATGAAGCCATGTCTCAGGTGAATAGTACAAAAAGTTCTCAGGTTTACTAGTGTACACATCAGCATATTGATGGATGTGATAGGCAAAAGCAGATTCTTGACCTTTGTCAGTGAGGAAGGTGGCCCCAAAAGATCTATTGAACATTCTCTTCATCATGCAGCGTGCTTTCTGCCTCTCTTCATTTAGTTCATCCATAAGTAACTTATATGCCTCACTTCTCTTACTCTTGGCTACAGTTGCATGTAATCTCCCAAGTAGTTCCTGTGCTATATGAAATTTTGCCTGCATCAAAAGAAGATTTTTAAATGGATAAAGTAGAAATTCTATTGTTGATTTGTTGCATTGCAGACAAAGCAATGAAAAATTGCAAATATTAAAACAGTCAACAGAAGTATCCTACATTGTACTCCATTCAACTCAATCAATCCTTGAGTTGCCAAATAACTAAATGAGGAAGCCTACCCACTTTTCACCAATATCAAATAAATTAGACAGTGAAAATAAAAAGTTCAAACATCCCAGAGGTAGAAATATATACCTGTTCAAATCGATAACTATCTTCGTTTTGTATGCATATTTCATTCTGCAATCAGAAAACAACCCAAAGACATAAAAAGTTTGTCTTATAACATACCACAAACGGACACAAAAGATAGATAAATACTCAAACTGTGAATTAGGAGATAAAAGCAGCACTCCTCTAATGGCAGAAACCATTGCTGTCTAAGTTGCTTTCTTAAAAGAAAAAACAAAACATTTTTAAAATCAATGAAATCTTCAGTGGTTTGCAAATTAATAATTTGGACAAAAGTTGTTAGTCATTTACATAGCATACTCCAAGTTCTCTGAAAAAAATCAGGAACTGAGGTTGAATAGTTTGTGATCTGTTTGGCCAGTTTCCACCTGTAAATACATAATCTTCTTAATCGGGTGTTAGTTTATCTCTCTCTCAACATTTATATTTTTGTTTCGTGGTTACAGTCTTTTGTTAGTTTGTCTCAATAATAAAGTAGTTACGTTTATACATCATTGTATTTTCTATAAGTATCTTATTATTAGAAACTCTTTCCTTGTGGTTTCAACTCAAGCCTTTGTTTTGGTTTTGACTTTGATTCTTCATTTCCTCTATTCTGAATTAATCAGCTTCCCCTTAAGTTTCTGAACTGCATCACTAGCCTAGTATTTTGGATTTGTCAGCTAAATTGTTGATTCAAATTTTAGTCAAAACAACAGAAAATACAAGATCATGGCATTAAAGAAAATGCCTTCCTCAACCGGCACCCTCGGTTTATTCTTTTTGTACTAAGGAAGTGATATAAAATATGTAGAAGTTGTCAAATAGCAATTGACTCTTAGTTGCCTCCATTTAAGTATAACATTAGTATTATTCTCCAAGGTAAATCTGACATTTTTAATATGAAAACATGCAGAAAGGTTAAAACCAGATGCAAGTATGGGAGGAAAAGGATAAGGCAAGAGAATTGGTTTCTGACATAGTTATTTAATTATATGCTTGAGCAGATTGTAGAAATGTACACAATAAAAAATGGTCTCATACTCGTCACCTTAAATGAACTAAGCACAAGCTTTCCACTTCTCAGCTCAAATAACAATATATGATATCGTATATGATTTTATTCATTGTCTTAAATAAAAATATGTTGTTATAGTTCTGATGTATAGTTCTGATGTAATCTTAAAATTAAACTATTTAAGTAGGCTTTTGAAACCTTACCAAGTTGCCTCTCGCTTGAGACTGGGTTCAAATTTGAACCCAGTAGAACTTGTTTAATAATGAGCAGAGAAAAGTGAGCTTGAAAAGTATTAATTCTCAGCGAATTCAGTTCAAGAATGGAGAGATAAATTTCAGCAAAATGCAACCATCAAGTTTTAAGATTACTAGAGCTTCAGTTTCTAGCTCTGCTTGAATTGGCTTGGCTAGACTGAACTGAACACAACCCTTACATGTAACCAAATTTTTATCCTCAACAATGTTAAACTGCATATAGGTACAACTTAACCTTACCAATAATATACAAACAAAAGCAATATTCAGCCCAAAAAAATGATCAACCATAAATGTTACTAGTTATTTTAAGCTACCATGATACTGTTTTATCACCTTCACTAATGGTTTCATTTGACATATGCAGAAATAAAAGAAACCAGAAGACCAGTAATAGAAAACATTATAGAAAAGTAAGTCATGAGAGTACTGCAAGCATTTAAAGACAAGGGATAAGAATGTGAAGAAGGCATACTTCTAGTTCATGGATAATTGCAGCAGTCCGCCAACCAGACTTTGAGGGGCCTCTCAAGTCACTAAATAGGTGATCACCAAAGTATATCACCTAACAAAGAAAATGAAGCAGTAAAATGCTCCCATCAGGAAGAACTTACTGTAATCTAGTTACACATGGTTGCACAAACATGTATAAGATCAAAAATAATGCTAATTGATCAGTAAATATGAAGCATAAAGTATGATATACCTCCGGGCCATTCCACTTAGTAATTTGGAGAAAAGATTTCAGGGATCCATGGTAATATATTTTATTTTGAAGAAATTTATCCACTTTTGTAAAAGCTAGAGTATCCTTCTCTGTGTCATAGCAGCTGCAAGTTTAGTTCCAGGAGATTGATCAATAAATATAATTTAGCATAGCAAGCAATTGCCTGACCAAGTGCAGAACAAATGCCAAGGAAGGAATAAAACTAAAACAAAAGGCAAGAACAAACTAATGCAGCCAAGAAAATCAAAGTTTCTTATTCTTGTTGCAGTTCTATTCTTAAGCCATTCATGGAACTTTCACCTTCAGGGGCAGAACTACTTTTTGAATCTCAGCATCCTAGATTTTAAAATCATGTGGTCAAATTTCTCTCTGAAATAGGACTTGAGGTTTGTCTCCAAGTTTATGTTGGTTATTTACTTAGTTATAAGCTAGTTTTTACTAGGTGTTCTAGTTCTGGTAGGTTAAAAAATATTCTAAGAGTCTCATAACTGAGTAATCATGTTTTAGGAACCTTTTGACTTACAAAATGAGAATTATTTGGGTTTCTCCATTCCTCCCTGGACACTCTTGTCACCTACAAGCACCAGGTACTAAACAAAATTTTCAATTCAAACCAGTCTTTCCCATGATAATTTGATCTCCTATTTTATCTATGTCCTTCCTGCACTGCCATAAAATCTAAAATTCCTTCTGTCCTAACCCCAAGCCCACCAATTTCATGTAGGCAGATTTACTCCAAACACTTCCCCAGGCGTAGGTGCTCTTTTTCATCGTCTTTTGCCAAATTAATAAGTTACTCCTTAAGATAAACTCTAAAAGAAGAGATTAATATCTCATATCATTGTAGCAGAAAAGAAACATTAAACAAATCAATCTCCTCCCTTGCAAGCCATGTAAAAAAAATTGGTAGAGAATTTAACAAGCTGAAGATACAAACCGGAATGGATGCTCAGAAGTGTAAAACTCCGGCTTATTGGCTTTTGCAATTACAACATCAAAAAGCTCCCTCCATGAATCCCTGTTACGCATAGAATCCTAAAAAACATGTCAAACTTAGCTCAAAAGGTTCACTACAAATAATTCTAAGCATGAAAATAAGAATGGAATGAGAATAATACACTAATAAACAAGCAAATGTGCACAACTATAGCAAACTGATTAAAGTGACCACAAATTTTGAAAGGTGAAATTCTTTAGATAAAACATACATAAATGTGTACATGCAAATTAGTCACTACTAAACTCTATGAATTCAATACACATGCACATGTCAATACGTTATTAAACATTAAAAAGCAATTCATGTCAAACATCTTCTACATGCAATATTATTTTCTACATGTAGGCTATGAAGGTCACCCACATGCATGTGCAGGGGGTGGGACTGGGGCAGGGAGAGAACTAAGGTTATATAATCTTGAATTTAAGTTACTTGTCTTCCTCCCAACATATCTTAATGGAAGTGGCATCATTCATCCACTTGAGTTATTTTGACTTCATATTATTTATTTTGAAAGGTCCTCTTTACAATTTGCTAAAGAATCGTTTGCATGTAGTTATTTATCAAAAAGGAAAAAAAGATGATATAAAAAAAAAAAAAAACAACAACAAGAAGTTTAACGAAAGTTCCATCTGAAACCCAATAAAAAATATAATGCACAATTATCATTAAGCGACTTTCACAATTGCTATGATTGAATACATTGAAAGCATATTGACATTAAATATGTCTTCTCTACTTTTAGAAAGTAAAAGGGCTAAATGGAAACTTCATAAAAAAAAAGGGGGGGCATGCATCACAAATTGTCTCAAAAACTGACCTAAAAATAGTGAAGGATTTATAAACAATAAATCATATGAATTATCCATTAAGATGACCAAGAACTACAAACTAAGAAGGCATTTGTGTTACTGGAATGTAAATTACCTCCAACATAAATTGCATTCCTCCATCCACAAAGTAATATGGTGAGTTTGTCAGCAAGAAAAGTTTCTTCCCCTTCTCCTTTAACATCCTAAGAAAGTGTAATAGCTGACCCTGAAACATAAATAAAAAATGGCAGGTTAGTATTCCTAGGAGAAAAGAACATCCTATTGACAGTTAACATGGTCAAACTTTAGAATAGTCTTTTCTTAGAAACTAAAAGGCAAGCAAAGTTTAAAATAACTTAAACACATAATATACTATAAAGATATAGTTAGAACTCACATTTTTTACTAGATATCGATGAGGATCAGAAAGAATTCCTCTATGAACCAAACCACTTCGATGAACATGCTGAATTGCACGATTAACATCTTCATATATATAGCAAGCATCAAATTCTAGTTTAGCATCGACGAAATATTGCACAATATCAGCGATGAGGCATGCCTAAAAAGATGATGAAAGAAAATGATTAGAGACTTTAAAATTAAACAAAATATGTGCATATCATAAAAGCAAATAGTTCAAGAAAGGGCTAACTCGCTTACAAAGCAGCATCATGCAATATAACAAGCCTTAAAAATGTACTATCCTTATCTGAGACTGCAGTGGATAGGCAAATTGACAGAAGCATTTTTGACATTTATCAGATATAATGAAAAGAGAACTTGTTATATTAATTCATCAAAAACGTGGGAGTGAAAAAAGTATATTAGGAGGCATTGAAAGGTACCAAATAAAAAGAACAAGAGGCAGCAGCAGCAATGACTCAAAAAAAAAGAAAAAAACCAAAATAACCGTTTGTTAAAAGGTATTAGGAGGCATTAGCATGCATGTGTGAGAGCATTTTGCTAGATGACTCTTGCCCAAACATCTCCAGCTGACCATAATGTTTTGAATAATACTCATAGGATGTGACTTACAGATTTAAAAGCCAACATTACTTATAATTAGACATTTATGTAGAACATTGTTACATAGCTATCAAAGGTATGCAACAGCCATAGCCATGCTGGATCCTATGTCAATGCTAGAAAGCAAACCTTGTTAGACACTTATACTTCCCCTGCAGACAAGCAATGCAATGACTAATAAACCAACCTCACTAAAGCAGAAAAAGTCCATCAAGCCCACAAGCTTGCGTGCCTGGTCACGGCCAATATGTCTTGTGCCATATATCTCATTTATTTCCTTCTCTCTCAGCTGCATTATAAGTAACAAAATAAGAAGCAGAATATTTTTCATACAGATCTGTACGAATTTCCCAAATAAACGTACATTATACAAACTCAGAAAGAGCCTCAAGCTTTTGTTTTTGGTTATTAACAAAAAAGGCCACTGATGGCAAGTTTAAAGAAAATAAAAACTTCCATCCTACTAGGTGCCAAAACCATTCTACTAGCAAAATGGCACATTAAGCATGGAAGCTTTTCTCTTACATTTTCTATTTTTTCTTCATTGATTTATTATTAATTTTTTTAAAAAAAGCCTGTGAATAGGCAAAACAATTGGGGCCAACACTCTATCCTTTTACCACCCTTAATCATACACTACTACTTTTTCTTGGCAATAGATTACACATAATAAACGGAAAGGCAGACTCAGTTCAAGCATTGCACAATAAGCAGAACATCTATGTCCCTACAAATTATTAACCAGTACCTGGCGACGACCATAGAAGCATCCATCTTGCTCTATGGAACCAAAAAAATCCAACTTCAATAGACACCCATTCTGCTTGTCGTAGTACAATCCTCTAATGGGAAAGGATGGATCATATTTAAAACCCATACAAACCTCAGGATACCTAAACTGCAAGAAATCCAACACATAACAATTCATCAACATCTACAATTTGCAGCACCACAAATACATCAACCACATAACTGCCACAAATGCTAACCTCATTCACCATATGCTCCTTTGCAAGATCATATATCAAACTTTGCAAGTCAGCAGAGTAATGTGCCAATGTAAAATCATAGTCGAATCCATATACTTGAATAAGATCCAACCTAATACCCTTATTCACATATATACCTATATTAAGACATAAAAACAACATTTTAAATACTAAAAACTCAAACAATATTCCCATATCTGCAAAAATATATTCAATTAGACAAAAGGGAGACATAACTGAACCTTCAGGATTCGTCTTGGGCATTGCCTTGAGTGCTTCAGGAATCTTAAGGAAACTCTGTTTGGCAGCATCAAATTCCCTTCGAATCTTGTCAATGTCATCATTAACCTCCAAATTGTCCGCTTTCGCACGCTCTAGTCCCTCCTCAAACTTCGACACAGTTTGCTTGGAGGACGCAATCCCACTGTAGCCTCGAATATTTGCTCCCAATACTAAATATAAAATAATAATCAAAATCTCGAATAATTCAACAACTCACTATTAAGTAAACATTAAAAAAATAAAAAGAAAGAAACTTAAGTATTACAATCCATATATACATGATTGAAACATTTAAAAACAAACAAAAAGAAAAAAAGTCGCATAGGTGTTAAGACCTAATAATCCAAATTTAAGTAATAAAAAAGTCCAAATTTACATATTTAAAACAAGAAAAAATGTAAACCATAAAAAGACAGTAGGAAAAGAAGAATAAAGGACCTCCATCTCCATGAATTCCAGAAGAAGAAAAGCCCCTTCTCTGTAACAAAGTAACATGTAAAGTAAGATCATCATCGTTGTTAGTTTTATAAATACGAAATAGAAATAGATAGAAAAAGAGACCCTGAGGGAGGAGCAAAGAGGAAGAAGCCTGCGAAAGGAAGCCATGAGAGGAAAGGAATTCAACTGAACATTCGACAAGATTGCAAAATGGAAAATAGAGATTTATTATCTGCAAAAGTCAGGGAAAATGGAATACGGAAATTTTTTTCATAAAAAAAAAAATATTAAAAAAAAAGATATCGAGGGAGAAGTCCAAGGCTCCAAGCTGTAGCAGCCTTTTCTGTTTTACTTTTATTATTTATAAAAAAATAATATTCAAACTTGTCTATTATTGTTTCTTATTCGTAATCCATAAAATAAATAATACTGCAATTTCAAACCTTCTCATTGGTTCAATTATCGGTCATTGTTTTCATTAAAAATTTTCAAAAAAATAAATTATTATTGGGAAAAACGTTGAACCGCTTCCTAGGCCTAAGGCCCAGTTTTGGGAACATCTGGGGAAGCTCATTACACCATGGTACAAATATACCAATACTATTTATAAAAAAAATACACGTTATTAAATTATTTATTTCATTATTAGAAATAGCACATAGATATTAATATCTGTCCTTATCATTAAACATTTTATATAACTTAAAGTAATGATAATATTTTTTTCTTACAATTTATATCAATTTATTACCATGTTAATGATCTAATAACTAAATGATGTATTAAAATTATGATATGATATGATAAAATAAAATAATATTAATAATATTAAATAATATTATTTTATTTTATGTTTGATATATTTAAATATCATAATAAGATAATTTATTTATTAATCAAAATTATTATTTCTCAAAATTTATATAAATTAAATTATTGATATAATTTTTAAATATATAATAAGATATATAAGTTCAATTTCATGAATTAAAAATAAATTTTTTTATTTTAAGAAGATTGAATTATTTTATATTAAGGGCATAATTAATATTTCTTATAATTTTATTCTTTTTTTAAATACAAACAAAGTGTAATATAAAATAATTATCATCATATCTTATTTGTCACCTTATACTCCAAACATTACTAAAATATATAATCTTAATAAAAAAAATTATACTTTGTGAGATTTTGCTAGAGTACATCTACTTGTAAAATGAATAATATTTTTATGTTAGATTATTTATTTTAAAAACTTTAAAATAATGGACATGATTAAAACTTTTATTAAGTAAATTCCAATACTTTTTTCTAAATTATTAAAATTTGTAATAATATTGTTGATATATACTTAGCAATCAATGGTCTGAGTTTTGTATTGAGCATTTATAACATTTTAATTTTTTTTTCAATTTCATTTAATATCTTTTAGTTATATGAAAATGAGGAGGAATGGTCAATTTACACTATATAAAATTAAAAAAAAATTATATATTTTTTAATTATTGACTTCAATATGTTTAACATATAAGATTAAATTTTTTTTTATTTTTCAAATATTTTAAATCTTTTGAAATTTATGGTTAAAAAAATATATAAAATTTTTTAGTTTTATGTTATATAAGTTGATTCCTTCTTATGAAAATATATGTTTATAAAACTTTTTTATTATTTAAATATAATTTTTAGTATTATGTATATAAGATATGATGTGAGTTAAATATATACAAATAAAACCTTGACATTATTTTGGTAACCTGGTACACTTGTTGGTAGACTTGAAATTTTATTTATTTATATCATATAAAATATTAAAATATTTGTATTTATATCGTATTTTATATAAAAATTACGTGTCACAATTTATGTTAATATGAATGTAGACATTAAATTTATCTGAATTTTAAGTAAGGGTTCTCGGATTTTCAGGTTAAGGCCCAAGTTTAATTCAATCGAGCTGAGGCCCAATTTCAATTCAACCAGGCCCAAAGTTTGATTTCGATCGGGCCCAAAGAACCCCAAAGCCCATTTTGTTCTTTAGACCCAACCAACTCTTTATTTTCTTTATTCCAATTTTTTAAAAAGGAAAATGAAAATAAAAACAAACAGAAAAATACAAAAACGAAAAAACAAAAGCTAAAAAACAAAAAGAAAAAAAAAGGGGTCGGTGGCAGTGGGTGCCATGCACGACACCACTGCCACCCCCTGTTCACCCTTGTTCACACCCACACCCTATGCTCTTTACCATCATACCTTACCACTGGACAAGACAAAAAAGTAAAATAGGGCAGATAGGCTGTGCTGGACGGTACCCCCATTTTTATCAAGCCTTATGCCACCTATCCAGGCATAGGACCATGACGGGAGCTCTATAAATAAAGCTCTTGGCCAACCCCAAAAGAAGGAGGAGGAGACCTTACCAAACAAAAAAAAACGTTCTGCTAGATCAAATAAAAAAAAATTAACTCAGTCTCTTGGAACGAGGAACCCAATGCCAAAATCTCCTGTAAAATAAGAAGCAAAGTCAGTAAAAAAAATAGGGTCAAAATACAAAAAAAAAGATTTGGTCAAAAGTTAAAAGGCAGATCTAGGGGATTTGAGACTTTTTTTTATAAAAAGAAGATCAGATTTAGGTTTAGAGAGTCGATGAAAGTATTTTAGGCTTTTTTGTTATTTTTTAACAATCGACTATCGCGACCGACGACCGACAATCAACCCTCAACGACGGTTGATGGTGATCGACCGATTAGGTAGAGAAAGAAGGTCTGGCAAAGAGAGAGAATTTTTTTTTTTTGGGAAAGGAAGAAATAAGCTAAAAAAATTAGGCTTTTAAATAAACTACCAAAGGCCAAAACAACGATATTTGAATAAGGTCAAAACGACGCTGTTTTAAGCACCCAAGATCTACGCGTCAACTCGTCGACTAAACTTGAGGTTCGTGTAACCAACTCGATGACTCAATTGACCCTTAGACCTAGATCGATCCAGTTAAACCGACCCAGATCGAGTTGAACTGACCTCGAACCGTCAAACCAACCATACCGTAATCTAACCGTCGAACCGACCGGACCCGTGTTGACCGATCTGGTTCAAGTAAAAAAAATTTTTTTATTTTTTTAATTTTTTATACATTATTTTATTAATATTTATGCATATTAAAATATTTATATTTGTTAGATTAAATGATAAAATATGTAGTTAAAATTTTTTTATAATTTTGTTAATCTTTAAAATAAACTTTAAAAATAAAAAAATAAACTTAATAATAATGCAAAATTAATAAAAATTGTAAGAAAGGAAATTTTTACCCGATAATAAGATTCAAAGGTATTCCGAGTGGTGATACCTATGAAATCTCTTGGTGAAAAATTTTTTTTTAAATACGACCAGTGTATTTGAGTATTTATAAAAAAAATTTAATACAATAAAAATTTTCCTTTTTGGTTATAAAATAATAAAAATTAATTAATAAATTAAGAATAAGTAATAAAAAATGATAAAAAAGGAAATTTTATCCGATTATGGGATTCTAAAAGTATTGCGAGTAGAAATGCTTTAAGAAATCCCTAAGTGAGAAGATTTTTTTTAAATATTATCAGTGTATTGAAATATTTATAGAAAATCCTCAATATAATAAAAATTTCTCTTTTTTTCACTTTTTAAACAAAAATAATGATAAAAAAATTAATAAAAATTTTGAATAAAAAAATAAAATGTATGCATTAACTTATTATCATTTGTATTGCATGTATGGCATAGTTTTTAAAAAATAAATTTTCGAATATGATAGTTTAAGGTATTCTGAGAAGTGATGCCTAAGAAATCTCTAGGTGAGAAAGAGTTCTTCTAATGTTACCAATGTACTGAAACATTTTAAGAATTATTTCAATAAAAATGTTCTAATTTATTTTTCTCGAATAAAGTTTTAATAATAAACTTTTTAATATAACTAAAAAAAACTAATTTTCAATAAATAAAAAAATCAAGAAAATTATTTTTTCAAAGATAAAAAATAAGACTATTTTTATCAAAATCAATGGATAACATATAGTTAATTGGTACCATTTTTAAACGGGCGTTATGAGAGTGTTAATCCTTCTTTACACGTAACTGATTCTCAAACTCAGATTGTTTGGCAAACCATAAAATCATCTTTTTAATAAATTTTAATTAATTTTAAAATTTTATTAAAAGGATAAATTTTAATAGGTGGCCAATCGCACCTAGCAAAAAAATATTGGTGATGACTTTGATTTTTTGTTTTTGTTTTTTAAATTCATCAGGCGACTCCAAAATCGTTACGACAGCTTGACGACTCCATTGGGGATGCCATTTATTTTTTAGAGTCAGGTCGAAATTAACTACGTGTTATCATTAAATTTTGATTTAAACAGTCTTAATCGATTTCTTAGATTTTTATTTTTCACTTTCAACAAAAAAGTAAAAAAAAATCGAAAACAAAAAAAAAATTCACACATGTTTTACTATGCCTCTTATGCTTTATTTTTTTGTATATATTGCTCTTAACAAATTAGGATATATTTGCACACACAATAACATGATGTATTTCATGCATGAGCTTTACACCCGGACTCTATCCCTTATAAGAAGAAGTAGAGTACCTATGTCCTCAAAGGTGATAACCTCCGCAATGGCAAGCGAAATACTTTGACTCAAATTGAACCATTTTCGTTCGTAGCTTGTAATGAGTAAGGATCGGGGTGCCTTCCTAGTCCAATATGGATGACAATGATGAACAATTTGAGAACCTTTAGACACATGTCAATCCAAACTCAGCATGTAATAAGCCTAAGAAACCAGCCTTAGGTAGAGCCTCGTCACCTTCTTGTAAGAAATACCTATGTCTAATACAAAACAAAACATAAAATCTCAAAACATAAAAAATGTTTTTTCTCAAACCACATCCTCACACTAATGCAATTTTATTTATTTTCTTTTTTTTTGCATAATCATATCATACAGTTCTGTATTGAGATATTTGCTCTATGACAGCTTTCTCTTAAAAGTCTTTATGAATCTCATAAAACTATAGATTTGCTCATTCTCAGTCAATGTCTCATGTGAGCCATATAATGAAATACATGTTTAGTCAAAAGAAGCCCAACAAAAAAGTGAAGATTACATTCCTACCGATTATGTGTCAAAGTTGTTCGAGAATGTGCATTTGGATCTCACGTAAAATGATTTAAAAGACTTAGCCGCTATCTAAAATCAGTTAAATGAAGAGAAAAACAAAGCTTTTACAAGAAATACAGGCAGATTGCATCTCTTATTTCGGTAATAATGGATGAACAGTTGATTAGGATAGCTATACAATTTTGAGATTCGTCCTATAGATGTCTCACTTTTAATCAAAAAGATTTGGTGCCAACTATTGAAAAATATTTGATTTTG